TTTTAATTTATTTTTTTATATTTTTTTTAAGTAATCTCTACACCCAGCGTGGGGCTCAAACCCACAACCCTGAGGTCAAAGAGTTGCATGCTTTGCTGACTGAGCCAGCCAGGTGCCCCCAAAACAAATGTTTTTCTCTGTTCCTCCTTCTCAGACTTTTCCCCTAAGATTGAGTTATTTCGAAAACATCAAGTCTGTATATTTGAAGTTATCAGTGTTTATTTGGATTATTTAAAAAAGCAAACAATTCAGACTAATGCTGTTGGGATTTGTGTAGATGTTGCCCAAGCATCAGATTATCCAAGGACAAGAATGTGTGGGTATAAATTATCAAGACCTCATGGTTAGAATCTAGCCATTTTCTTTTCACTGGCTGCCTGTTGATCTCTTCCAGTATTTACCTAATTGCCCCATTCTTACTGATGGTGGGTTTGGGTTTTGTAGTGGCTGTGATGTGGGTTCCACTGCTAGGGAGGAAGCCTGGTGTTCTTTGTCCTGCCAGAGGAATAGTGGTAGGAGTCTGTGTGCTGTGTAGGTTTGAGTGTGACAAAAACAGAAGGTGGGAGGACCATCTAGGTGGAGAGATCTTCAGCAGGTGCAGAGTAGAGAGATCACAAAGAGCAAGTACTTCATAATGACCAAAGACTCTTGCACTTTTTTCTTAGAAATCAATAAGGAAAAGAGAATTTGAGTGAGTTCTTGATATAGCGGGTATATATTTGGTGTATATTGCAAATGTCTTCTCCTTTCTTTTTTAACATTATTATATTCTTTTGACAGACAAGTGTCCTTGAACAACGTTTTCTGTATCATTTGATTGTCTTTTATTTGGTACAGTTTACAAATTCAAATGAAAGGCAATTAAAAAAATAGAATTGTAGAGATTCTTTAGTGGTATGTCTCCTTTTTACCCTTGCCCACCAACCTTCTCCTTTGAAGGTGACCATGTTAGGACCTTTTTGCATATAATTTTCTGATCAAATTTTTTTCTCTTATTTTTTTTTTATTTCAGAACAGCTTTATATTTACATAATTATTTCAAAGATAGTCCAGAGAATTATTCAACATCTCACATATATATTCCTCTATTGTCAAAATCTTGCATTAGTATGGTTCATTTGTTATAATTAATGAACCAATATCAAAGTCCAGACTTTATTCATATGTCCTCAGTTTCTACATAATGTCTTTTTTCTGTTCCCATATCTCATCCAGGACAACATATTACATTTAGTACTCCTGTCTCAAGGCTCTTCTTGGTGTGGCAAGACTCAGAGAGCTTCTCAGACTTTCTTTGTTTTTGATGTCCTTGACAGTTTTCAGATTACTAGTCAGGTATTTTGTAAAATTTCCCTTAATTGGAATTTTAAAAAATATATAATGCCCACACCGTTATAACCACCTTTCTTAAATCACACAAGTCAGTAATTTTTAGATATTCACAATGTTTTACAACCATCCCTACTATTTAATTCCAGAACATTTCATCATCCTATAATGAAACCCAATAACCATTAGCAGTCACTCCCTATTCATCCTTCCCCCCCCATTCTCTGACAATCACTGCTCAGGTTTCTGTCTCTATGGATTTGGGTATTTTGTACATTTCATATAAATGGACTCATACAAAATGTGGCCTTTTCTGTTTGGATTTTTTTTCCATATAGCATAACATTTTTCAGAGTTCATCTATTTTACAGCATGAATCAACACTGCATTCCTTTTTATACTAAATGATATTGTAGTATAGATATGCCATACCATATAATATTTTATTTATCCATTTATCAGTTGATAAAGAGTTATTTCCTCTCTCCAACTATTATATAATAAGGCTGCAATGAAAATTCATGTACAAATTTTTGCATAGATGTGCGTTTTCATTTATTTTGGGTTATGCACTTAAAAGTAGAATTGTGGATCATAGGATAGCTTTATGGTTAAATTCTTAGGTACTCCTGACCTTTTTTCTAAAGTGGCTGCACTAATTTACATTTCTATCAGCAAAGTATGAAGGTTCCAATTCGTCCACATCCTCCTTAACACTTGTTATTGTCTTTTTGATTATAGCCCTCCTAGTGAGTGTGAAAAGGCACCTCATTGAGCTATTCTTTTGCATTTCCCTATTGACTAAGAATGTAGAATATCTTTTCATGTGCTGATTGGCCATTTGTTTATCACTTTTTAGTGAATTATTTATTCAAATCTTTTTCCCATTAATTTTTTTTATCCTTTTATTGTTGAGTTTTAAGACTTCCTTTATATGATATTTGCAAATATTTTCTACCATTCTGCTGGTTGTCTTTTTACTTCCTTTATAGTGTCCTTTGAAGCAAAAACTTTTATGTAATTGTGATGAAGTCCACTTTATTATATTATTATTATTATTATTGTTATTATTATTAGGTTGCTTGTACATTAGGTACATCATATCTAAGTAAACATGGTTTACTTAAGGTGACACAGATTTGCACCTATGTTTTCATCTAAAAGTTTTATATTTTAAACGCTTACATTTATGTCTTTAATCCCTTTTGATTTAATTTTTATATATGATATAGGAGTTATGATCAGTTTTGCAAATTCTTCAGCTTTCGTTTTATAAAGAATAGTTGTTTTGTTAGTTTTATTCCAGATTTGATGTCCCTTAAGCTCATACCTTGGGTTTATGACTTGGAGATAGGTCTAGACTTTGGAAAAGATAGAATTGTTTAAAGACATATGTGGGTCTAGCAACATAGTCCTTATAGCAAAGCTTATTGGTAAAGTCTTCTTTTCTGTACATTCACTTCCCAGTTGCAGGGTATGCTTAGTCAGGGTGGTAAACTGATATAAATTATACTCTATAAGTATATGAGTGATCCAATATGGAAGTTTGGATTGTGTGTAAGGCTCAGGGAGTTCATCATACCATTTCTAGTATCTAAAGCTAGCTTCTTAATGCAGTATAGAAACCAGAAAATTATGAGAAGGGTAGTTAGAGTTGTCAAAAAGAGTAGGCTGGAAAGGGTTTGGAAGGGGGGGATTAATAAACTAGATAATCAAGTACATTACAGTTGAGAATTAAGTATAATTTTATTTTATCTTAATATTTAGTTTTTAATTCTAAAAGTAATGATCACTATAAAAAGTATAAGCATGGTAAAAACAAAAAAAAAAATTGTCATGGCCAAGAGAAGCCTAAGGGGACATGACTACTGAACATATATGTGGTATCTTACAACAAGAAAATGACATTAGGAAAAATCTGAGGAAATATGAATAAGGTATGGATTTTAATTAACAACAATCACATATATACCCAATTCTCATTCCCCAGTGGAAGTTACTTTGTAATATTTGGGGCAATTCTAAGAGCTAACACTTCTATAGAGTTTTTGGTCTGAATCAAACCCTGTTCTAAAGATGTATATTAACTCACTTAGCTGTCAAATCATTGTATAAGTACAATTCCTCCATATTTTACAGACTAAAGAAACCAGGCACAGGAAGTTAGATAAATTGCCTAAAGTAACATTGCTATCAAGCATCAAAACTAGAATTTGAATCCAACGAGTCTGAGTCCAAGGCATGATTTCTATTACTAACTATAGTGGTATGTGTGTTATTTCATATATTTTTTCAGTGTGCATGTAAACATATATTTACATAAAATATCCACCTAGCATTAATTTTACATAATATTTTGCTATTTGCTCCCATGATCAGAGTTGACTTTCTATGTGTAGGGGGGTAACTAAAAATAGCCAATATGCCAGATGCCATATTTTTGGGGTAGTATGTTATGAACTCCTTCATATGTTACTTCACTTGAATGTGTAAAAATGAACCATTAGTGCAATTTTGTAGATCAAAAACCTACAAACCTATATTGATAATTTCACATGATGCAGCACAAAACTTCATTCTTTATATCAGCCAGATTATATTTATATATAATATCAGTCTATTATTCTTTATATAAATAGATAACAATTTACTAAGTCTGTCTTTCATGAGGCAGATTACATAGTTTCCAAGATTTTATTACGATAGATGTCTCCACTGAGATGTATCTTCACACTTGTTTGTATAGTGTATGTATATGATTGGGAACAGAGCACTAGTTTAGGAGAATGGGGAGGGGATTTTAGCCATGTAGACGCCATTAGCCCACCTTCAGCCTCGGTTTTTTGATGTGGAGAATTGAGAAAATAGAAAAGCTATGTAAAACACTATGCAAATACAGCTTCAGGATTCTTTCCTTAGCTTTCTCATCTTAGCATTGTCTTTTCCGTGTTATACATATGTAGCAATTTTGGAGTTACCAATGAGTGCCTTAAATCTGTAGACAGAGTGTTACTAGGAAAAAAGAAAATCATTGTATGTACTTGTTCATTAATGTTGTATGAGAGTGATATTTTCCCCACTCCAGTTATCACTGATTATTGGTAAAAATCTCAATGTATCCAAGTAAAGGCTTTGTTTTATTCAGGGATCGAAGCTCATTTTTTGTTTTATGAGAAATGAGTAGCCAACTTTTTCAATTTAATTACCTATCCATTCTTTATTAGAGAGTTTACTTACATTATTATTGTTTTGACATAATTTTCATAATTTGAAAAAATACTTGTAGAAAGCAGAAAAAGAGGGGGGAACCCCACCAAATTTGAATAATGAATGTAATATCTTTTTCTTTTCTTTTAGACAGATTGGAAGACTTGAAGGTGATTGTAAATCAGGATTGTTTGGCCCATGGTGCCTACAAAGATTTGTTGGGGAACCGAGAATTATTTCCTCAACATTTTACATGTTTTAAAAAAGAGAGACCTTGCCATTAAACTCAGGGTGGTGGTGGAGTTCTCCTGAAAAGGCGCTAGCGCCTTGGCTATTTGGAGTGCAGTAGAAATCAGGCCCCAGTGATTCCGCTTGGCGGGGGCGCTGGCACCCCTGCACTGCGGCAGGACCTCAGCACTGCGGCAAACAGTTGCGGTTGCGCAGCCAGAGTCGGAGGGGTGGCTAGCTGCGCATGCGCAGGTGGAACTGGTGTGATTAGCCCTGCCGCAGTGACTGGAACACAGAGTGGAGTGGTCGCCGGAGATGCCTGAAGGTCTGTTCTGAGGAGCGGCTAGCAGCGCGATGGAGCGGGCCAGGTCAGCTGTGTGGATGTCTTCCCTTAGAGACAGCCTAGGAAATACTCATTTTGGTTTGTTCAATATTCCAAGTTTGCCGAACTTGGAGTATTGTATATACTCGGAATCCGGGTCCTAAAGTTCTTTGTTCTGGGGAACTGACTGAGGATTTGAGGCTTGGTTGTACCTCCTCGGAAAGTGTTCTGTCCATGTCGTGTTGTGTCTTGGCTGGTATATATCACTCTAGTGTGTCCCATCAGATCCTTTCTAGAGTGGCCTTTTGTCCTTGAGATCTGAGGCCATGACTGTGGTTTGGGAGGGTACATTGTGATGGCCGTGGTGTGAAAGGCAGGGGAAGATATGATGGGATAGGATCAGTGGGGAGTCCACAGTACCAAGGAGGGGACGATAAGGTAGGACATACGGTAAAAGTGACAGTGGTATGGGGGGGGGCGGGGGACCAGGGTAGCTACAATGGCGGTGGTAAGGAGGGGTATTTGGGGTGAGGTGTCCACAGTGGTGGTTTTAGTAATGGTGGCCGCCATGGTGGTGGTGGGAGGGAGCTTAAGGTGGGCTGTTCATGGTGTCGGTGGTAGCGAAGGGGTCGCCATGGTGGCCATGCTGTTGGTTTGACGGTGAGCGAGGTGGCCACTGTTTTAGTGATAATGGAGGGGATGGCAGGGTGACCAGCAAGGTGATTTTGGTGGCCATGGTGGGCGGGGGCAGCAAGTGACCGTCATGGTGGTGGTAGGGAGGGACTGTGGTGGGGAGGGACGGCGGGGGTGGCTGCCATGAGGGTGATACAAAGAGGGTGGCACATTGAAAAGGGTGACCCACCAGGGTTTATTATGTGTGGGGGCGGTGGAGCAGCCATGCTATTGTTGATGGGAGGGGGGCGATTGGATGGTAGTGGGGGTGGTGATGGTGGTGTATGGGAGCTTTGGCCGAGTGGCCGCCACGGTTGTGGTAGAGTGAGCTTGGTAAGAAGGGGCATTGGGGTGGAGGCAGCGGACAGGGAATTTGGTGAAGGCCTGATGTAGTCGTGAGTGGTCCACAGCCCCTAGTTTGAGGAAAAGGGAGAACGTTCAGTTTTCTCTGACCTGAGGCAGTCTTAGGTGTTTGCCGCTGCCCACTGCTCACCTGAAGGGATGGCTGAAGAAATGTTTGTCTGTCACAGTCCCTCGTTTCTGTGGTTTTGGTGTAAGATTAGGGATATGGCGTGCAGAGCTTGCTTTATGAATTTTGTGAGAGTCATGCAGGTTCTGGGCTGTAATACTGCAGAGGTGTCTCTTGTTTGCATTGATTTTCTGCATTCGGAGTAAGGTTTTCGAAAGTCGCTTGGGGGCTCTTAGGGGTCCAGTGCCGCGTCACAAGCATTGTGCGACTCGCCAAAGATGGCTGCCGCTGCAGATGTGCAAATCTGCGCAGGCGCAACAGGGTAGGGGGCAGCCACCCCCTCCCCAGTGCCGCAGTGGGGGGAGGGGTAGTTTATGTAGCCTCTGCCGCGCGGCAATTTCAGCGGCATCCTCGAAGCGTGGTGCTAAAGGGAGGAGGCGGGCAAGAGTGGATAGCCACCCCCTCCAAAGTGCTGCAGTAGGGAAGGGTGCAGGATTTGGGATGCGCAGGCGCAACAGAAAACAGCGTCTCTGCCCTGCAGTGGGGCGGGCACCAGAGGAGGGGGTTTGCGCAGCCTCCGCCTGGTGGGGATGGCTGCCACCCCCCTTCACCTGTCCGCTGTAATGGCTGCTCCTTCCCTGTTGTGCTGCAGTGGGTGGAGGGAAGGAGGACACAGAATTGTTGAGCCTGTACCTTGAGGCACCCCCCCCCCCTTTTCCCCATAAGGTCACTTCCAAGGGGAGAGGACAATGAGGCAAAGGATTTGTATATTCTATGCCTGCGTGGACTGGCAGCCAAGCTGTGCCCCTGCCTTTCTATGGTGCTGTAGAAAGGAGAGATGGGGGCCTGGAGGGCAAGAAAGGCAAAACCATCCTATGATCCACAGTGCTACTGGTGCAGTAGATTTTAAATCTGTGTTCTGACTTTTTAGAAAGGCCCACCTTTTCATTTTCATAGATTCCCTAGGTTGTATTGTGAACAATCTAATTGTTGTTAATATTCAGAGGGGATTCAGTAACCCCTTAAACAACTCTCCTTCCTATAACATTTGATTTCCATTTTCCAGATTTGGTCACTCTACACCTGCATCACCTTTAAGAATGTGTTTTATTTCTTAATCTTTGGATATTACTTTTGTGATGTCGCTTTTATGGACAATTTCCTTAAACTGGGCATCAGGGCTTCTCCAGGGTTCTTAGGAGCTGAGAATTGTAAATTTCGTGTGCTCAAGAACAGAGGAGAGCATCAGAAGAGTAGAATGCTACGGGGGTGTGAGTATTGAATTAGGGAATTGTTGCCCCCGTTTTATTTTTAAAGTGATACTTTTGATCGATCAGTTTTGAAGTTGGAGTTACTATGAAAACTTGGTGAGAAAGTACAATTAACAAAGTAACTATTCTAGTATTCCGTATTCCACCTTTTGTGGGAGGTATTTTCAAGGATATTGTTTTTCTTCACAGGATTTTGATGGGCTTGCCTTTTTCTTTCTTCCTTTCTTTCTTTCTTTCTTTCTTTCTTTCTTTCTTTCTTTCTTTCTTTCTTCTTTCTTTCTTTCCTCTCTCTCTCTCTCTCTTCCTTTTCTTTCTTTCTTTTTTTCCCCTTATCTATCGCAAACAATATGTCTGGTTGTGCTGAGTTGGAATGTAATTAAGGAAAACGTAAACCCAGAAGCCTTGGAAAGCTTGTTGTGGAATCTTTCTGAGTAGTTTTAAAAATAGCAGAAGTCTGGAATTTTGTTGCTCATTTTTCCTACTTGTATACACATACTGCATCAAATAACTATATTTTGATTTAACTTCTGATCATTTTGGCTATTTGCAAAATGAGTGTGTATTATACTGGTCAGCCATTTTGTAGTTTTTCACTCAGGCTTAGGATCTCAATATGGCGGATCCCTTTGGAAAGACCTCTGAGGTTTCAAGGTCTCTGCTGAGCCTGTTGAATATTTGGCTTAGTATGTGGGCTTTTTGAAAATCATTTTGAAAATGATCAGTCAGTGTGAACCCTGTCTGTGGTTTAAAGTGAGGAAACAGTCCAGGGATTGTTGTATTGCTATCTAGGGCAAAGTACTGTCTGGTTTGGGTTTATTTAGAGATTATTTTGTATTAACTTGGTTTGCCTACTGCATATGTCCAGTGCTTCTTTGCTGAAATACTTTCTGTATATGTGGTGATGCTACATCTTTATTTCTCCCCTTTACTCTAAATGTGCTCAGATTTGTTTTTGAAAAATTCTACCTTTAAGATGTCAAGGCCTCAAAATTAATATCTTAATTTTTTTAATTGGAGTTTAGTTGACACAGAATGCTCTATTAGTTCCAGATGTACAACATAGTGGTTCAACAACTCTATGTGTTGTGCTGTGCTCACAAATGTAGTTATCATCTTTCAGCATATAGTGCTGTTGATGATATGGTATTTGACTTCCTCTGACTTGTTTCACTTAGCATTAACACCCTCTAGTTCCATTCATCTTGTCAAAAATGGAAAATTTTTACTTTTTATGGCTGAGTAATATTGTATGTGAATATATATGTTGCATCTTTATCCATTCGTCTATGGACAGATACTTATATGATTGCTTTCATATCTTGGCTATTAAAAATAGCACTGCAGGCAATGCAGGGGTACCTGTGTCTGTGTCTTTTTGAATTAGTGCTTTTGTTTTCTTTGGGTAAATACTCACAAGTGGAATTACTGAATCATAGGCTATTTCTATTTTTTATTTTATGATGAACTTATATACTGTTTCCCACCGTGATTGCACCAGTTTACATTCTCCCCAAGAATGCAATCAGTAGGTTGTCTGTTTGTTTTGTTGATGTTGTCCTTTGCTGTGAAAAAGCTTTTTATTTGGGTGCAAGCCCTATAGTTTAATCTTGGTTTTGTTTCCCTTGCCAGAGGAGACCCATGTAGAAAAATGTTGCTGAAGCCAGTGTCCAAGAAATTACTGCTTATGTTTTCTCTAAGGAATTTTATGGTTTCAGGTCTGACATTTAGATCTTCAATCTGTTTTGAGTTTCTTACTTTTTGACACTGCACTCTTGTGCTCAGATATATTTAGGAAGAATCCTTGAAGTAATCAGGGCATGAGTATTGTCTCAACCTGACAGGGACAATGAAGTTTTTGATCTTCAGTTTACATTTGGATTTTATTGCGGGTCCCCTTTATCCCCGCCTCTTTTGTGGCCCAGAGCCAGGAAGCTTGAGTAAGAGTTGTTGATGGTTAAGGTTGTCTCCTTCACTAACAAATGTTGGGTAAGGAAGTGATTTCTTTTGCCTCCTAATTCCTGAATGCTGATGGCTTAGAATTTACTTTTTAATGATACCATGGGTTTTGTTTGAGAGGAACTGACTTTGTTTATGAGATCTGTAGACTGAGATGACCTCATATTTTCTTTTATTTTTCATTCTTGAGATCTTAGTAGTTGAATTTCAGTTAAGTTTTTTTTTTCTTTTTTTTGGTAGGATATAAGGCATATTAAATATTTGACAATGTTTAGGCTACTGGGAAAAACATTGTGTGATCTGATCACTTTTAAGTAAGTTGTATGCCTAACGTGGGACTTGAACTCACAACACCAAAATCAAGAGTCCCATACCTGCATGCTCAACCAACTGAGCCAGCTAAGCACCCCATCTTTTTTCCTTTAAATGCTTATTTTCTGAAAGCTGGTTTCTAGGTTGGAAATGCAGTAGGAAGATTATAAATGCAAACACATGTGTGCATATTTAGAACAAACTTCTAATGTTATCAAAACACATCTGCTCATAGATGATTTTACATGTAGCTTTAAAAATGGGTTCAGAAAATTGAATAATTCGTATGCTGGTTCTTAAATGAACTCAGATCCTTTCATACTGAGCAACTGGTATGAAGGGGTAAAGGAGCTGAACATTTTCATTTTAAAGATTTTTTGGTAATGATGTATTCTTAATTATACTATTAGGTTAATCATAATTGTCCATGAACATAGACCTTTTTATTATATAATTTTAATATAATATTGTATTAAGTATATTTGTGAAGCCATGTTTCATCAGTAAATACTTAATTCCTTTTTGGGACTGCATGACATTCCATCGTATTGAATATACCATATCACACCATATTTTGTTTATCCATTTTTTGGTGGTTGTGCTTTGGGTGTTTCCACTTTTTGGCTCTTATGATTAATGCTGCTAGGAACAATCACACTCAAGTTAATGTTTTTTTTTATTTCATTCCCTCTAGGAGTGGAGTTACTGTGTCAAATGTTAACTATATTGTTCACAATTTTAGGAAGTGCCAGAGGCTGCACCATTTCATGGTCCGACTAGCAATTTCTCCACTTCCTCCTTCACTCCTGAGGTGTGAAGTGGTGTGTTTATAGTTTGATTTGCATTTCCCTAATGACTATAGTGATACTAAGTATATTTTCTCATGCTAATGTAAATTTGTATGTCTTTGGAAAGCCGTCTTTTCTAATCTTTCACCCATTTTGAAGTGGAGTTTTGTTATTATCAAATTATATACTCTTATCATTTAAAACTCTGATGTACAGATGTGATGTTTAAATGATTTCTCTTGCTTGGTTAGAACATTAAAGTTTTTGAAGCAATAAAGCACCTTGGGCTTACTAGAAAGCTATTTGATTGGATTACTTTGGTTCTAACATGAATTTTAAAATAGCAAAACAGTTCAGAGAATTAGCTTTGGGGCTATTTCCTTTGAATTCTGGCTTTCAAATAAGTATGTTGCGTAACTTTTATAAAACGTTTTTCCTTCTATCATTTCTGATTTAACATTTTTAAATTGCAGTTTTAGGAGTGGTTCCTGTAGTTTCTAACATGGAATACCAGGTGCAAGATTTCATGCTTAGATCCATTGAGCAGCCATTTTGTGAGCTGTTCTGCAAATCATAGGATGGTGGTAGCTTATGGTATTAGTTTTACTTTTTTTTTGCTTAAGCATCCCTTTTATCTCTTATTGTGCAAATCCTAGGAAAACAGCATTTGCATAGGAAGTTGCTTAAGTAGAAATTCTATATTTTCAGCTTTATGCTTTATTCTATTCTATAGGATCTATCCTAAAAAGATATTTTCAGACTAGTTTTGAAATCCACATTGCTGTTTTCTCAGGGTTAATGCAGGTATGGGTAGTGAGTAGGTCAGTGTATATAAATGTATTTCAGTGAATGTAAAGTTTTAATCTGTACATGTAAAAGTAAGTGGAAATACTTTATTTTTGCTTAACTGATACCATCTTCACCCCACCACACCGTGCTGTTCTCTGACATTAAAGGGCTTCTAAAGGGGAAAGTGGCTTTAGGATAGATCCTGACTGTTGGAAGGTATTCTAATATTAAAATTTTGTCTTGTTTATTTTCCCCCATTTTTATTGAGGCACAATTGATGTATATTACTACTGTACTTTTTTTTTTTTTTTTTTTTTTTGAGAGACAGAGAATGGCGGAAGGGGCAGAAAGAGGAGCAGACGGGATCCCAAGTGCTTGGGACTCTCTCTACTCTGACAGCAGAGAGCTTGATGTAGGGCTCAAACTCAGGAACCATGAGATAATGACATGGGAGGAAGTCAGATGGTTAACCAACTGAGACACCCAGGCACACTACTACTGTACCTTGTTTTAATTAGATTATAAGCACTTTAAAATCTCCATCATATTAAATACAGCTCTAAAGCAGTCTTTTTTTTTTCCAACGTTTTTTTTTTTTATTTTATTTTTGGGACAGAGAGAGACAGAGCGTGAACCGGGGAGGGGCAGAGAGAGAGGGAGACACAGAATCGGAAACAGGCTCTAGGCTCCGAGCCATCAGCCCAGAGCCTGACGCGGGGCTCGAACTCCCGGACCGCGAGATCGTGACCTGGCTGAAGTCAGACGCTTAACCGACTGCGCCACCCAGGCGCCCCATTACAGCTCTAAATAAGCCTTTAACTAAGTGGTTATTTTAAAGTTATTGAAGTCTATCAAATAAATTCCGCTTTCTGTTTCAGGGACCGCTTACACCTGAGACGGACCACGGAGCAGCACGTACCAGAGGTGGAAGTACAAGTCAAACGTAGAAGGACAGCCTCACTGAGCAACCAAGAGTGAGTACATTCTGGGTTGAGAACCAGTTTAGGTCATAATTATTTTTCAAATCAGAACAAAGTATAATGCAATGAGGGTGTATTGAAATGAATTTATTAATGAAAGAACCATAGGACTGTAATATAGAAAATATAGCAAAATGGTTAAATTATTCTTAAACATGTGGTACTAATTTCTGTTCAAAAATTTAGTAAAGTGCATTTCTTTTTATCCCATATGTGTATGTGGATTATATCTTCATTAAATTCTACATCTTTCAACTTTGATATTTAAATTATGCCTGTTTTATTTATGTTGTTACTAAACTACTTTTTCTATGTTTGCAAAATGTTCTATGCATTTGATGGAATGCTAATTTATATTTATACTTGGCAATATTCAGATTTTTATTTTTGCTTAGTGCATTTATCCAATTAAAAATTTGAAATGCATGGGGCACCTGGGTGGCTAAGTTTGTTAAGTGTCTGACTTCCGCCCAGGTCATGATCCCATGGTTTGTGAGTTTGAGCCTCACATCGGGCTCTGCACTGACAGTTCAGAGCCTGGAATCTGCTCCAGATTCTGTCTCCCTCTCTTTCTGCCTTTCCACCACTCACACTCTGTCTCTGTCTCAAAAGTAAATAAACAATTAAAAATTAAAAATTTTTGAAATGTACACATTTTTTTCCTTCTCCTTAGTTAGGATATCTACATGTAGATACACTTTTAAATTTAGATTTCCAGAAGGGGGATTTTAATATAAAATATATCAACATTTTTAATGATCTGATACATACTGAGTATTTATTGGAACTTGTATTTTGTTTCTAATCTTGACAGTATCAGTGGGTGGCATTTTTGGCCCTTTCGCAAAGCTGTTTCATTTTGTTATTTTCCACAATTACAAGTAATAAAAATACATGAGTATAGTCTCTTTAAAACACCTAACATTCAGGTAAAAAGTATTCACTTCAACTTACCATCAGTTGTTTCCCATTCCCTCCCTGGAGATAACCCACAGGTATGTAGATGTCTATATTTTGAGATATTTTTCTGTTTATTCATGTGTATGCACACATGGTAGGGAGAGGAGGAAGGCATACTTGTGATTTGTTTGGCTACATATGTAAGATTTATTTTTCTGCAATCATCTTGGGGGGGTCTTTGTATGTCACTGCATATAAATCAACCTTATTGTACAAATATTAGAGGAGGGGTGGTATGATAACATAATTACATTCATAATTAGCTTACTGATATTTAGGCTGTTTGCATTTCTTTTAAAAAAATTTTAATGTTTGTATATTTTTGAGAGAGAGAGAGACATAGCACACATGGGGGAGGGGCAGAGAGAGAGGGAGACAGAATCCAAAGCAGGCTCCAGGCTCTGAGCTGTCAACCCAGAGCTTGAAGTGGGGCTCCAACCCATGGACTTTGAGATCATGACCTGGGCACTCAAGGACTGAACCACCCAGGCGCCCCTAGGCTGTTTTGCATTTCTTAGCTATTATAAACAAAGATAAGGACAGTCAATTTGAAAGTTAATATTCATTATTATTTACATTTTATTTCTCCCTCAAATATAAGGCTTTTTTTTTTAAAGCTGTTATAAAATGGCAGTAACATTTTGTCTCCTATTTTTGTTATTTGCACATTTTACTTGTAGGAATATTGCAATATATTTTCACTTGTACATTTTAAATTACTGGTGAGGCTAATGATTTCCTCATTTTCCCTATTTTATTTATTCTACCTGACCTCATTCTTTTGTTACATTTTTATTTGGGGAATTACTTTGAAAAGAAGTATTTTATGAATGAATATTTTATATAATTTTTCCTTTATAATAGACTTTTTGCCATGTTAATTTTCTCTTATAAAGTAATGTCTTTCGTAACTGCAAAACTCTTAAAAGTGACATTTTCTTTTTTTTAACTTTTAAAAGTTTATTTGAGAGAGATTGAGATAGTGCAAGTGGGGGAGGGGCAGAAAGAGAAAGAGAATCCCAAGCAGGCTCCATGCTGCCTGTTCAGAGCCCGATGAGGGGCTCAAACTCCCGAAACCATGACATCGTGACCTGAGCTGAAACCAAGAGTTGGACGCTTAACCAATTTAGCCACCCAGACACCCCAAAAAGTGACATTTTCCCCAGAGTCTCTAGAAGTATTTGAGGTTGTTTAGAGATTGGGGTGGAGGTATTGAGGGGGGGGGGGTTCTTGAGGGAGATGTTTTGTTAGTGTTAATGGTTCTATCATATTTGTTATATTTTGTTAGAGCCATTATCTTATACAGGATCAGTGTGCACCAGCATAACAGGTAATCTCTTCCTCATCTTCTTTAAGCATTCCTTAGGTGTCATTTTCTTGTCTGCCTCTTTGGAAACATGTTACTTTCAAAGAAGAAGTAACTTCATTTCCTGACTTCTTCTGTGTATATTATATATAAATACTAGAGGGTGCTAAAATGAAGGAGGGGAATTTTGAGTTAGGGAAATAGTGTAATTTCCCCAGTAACCTCTCTCTGTTTTGAGAGTGTGTGATTATGGGGATGGGTAAGCAGTATGGATATTCTCTAAGCCCTGGTACATATGCTCAGGATTCTCTCAGGATTGGGATATTTGATAGTTATAGTATGTTTATTTTAATCATAATCCATAAATATCCCACCTTTTGCCAAACTAAAAGCCAGTATTCCTGAGAAATTGTGTGTACACCAGTTCTAATGGCTAATGAAGGATTGCTATTCATGTTGCATCCAAGATACAAAATGAAATTGAATAAAAACTAAAACTTTGCAGACAGAACATCCATCCCACAGACCAACCATAACTATTAATAGAAGCTAAGTGATTTGTACTCCTGAAATTGATGGTTAGTCTTTCTTCTAATAGATCTATCAAGTAATCAGTTTTGGATTTGGGGGCTGGTGAATGTCTTTCCTGTTTATTGATGTACTGTAAATTTGAGAGAATTTGGAGATTGGGGCCGGAGAGTCTTCTGGAGAGACCATTTTCTGTACCCCTTTCAGATGTTTTTCTTATTTATTTGTTTATTTATTTATTTATTTATTTATTTATTTATTTATTTATTTATTTATGTTTTATTTATTCTTGAGAGAAAGAGAGACAGAGCATGAATGAGGGAGGGGCACAGCGAGAGAAGGAGACACAGAATCCGAAGCAGACTCCAGGCTCTGAGCTGTCAGCACAGAGCCTGACGTGGAGCTTGAACTCATGAACCATGAGATCATGACCTGAGCCGAAGTTGGACGCTCAACTGACTGAGCCACCCAGGCACCCTTCAGATGTTTTTCTAAATTTACATTCTGCATTTCACAAAGTAAATGTTATGTGTACTGCATCTTATTTTCTCAGTTTTACCTTAATCTTCAGTTGGGTTTCAGGTTAAACCCAAAAGAGACACTCCAATAGGAGTTTAAAGAATCCAAAAAAAATTTTTTTTGGTTGAAATGTTTTAAAACCTTATTAGGTCAGGGGCTTGGTTGCCATTTGGTAATGAAAGGATTGGAAATGAGAACACCCAAATAAAGATTTAATTATTCATTGATTAGAATGGGACAATTTAAAAGCATGGGCAATGTAATTCAGATTCTCTGGAGTTAATGTAGACTTGACACATTAAAGGTACAGTTCTCCATAAGATGACCCTCAATTGAGATACCAGCTGCAAGCCTCAAAGTTTCTAGGCCACCTGAACTTTTCAACAGGTAGATATAATTCAAAGTTTCCATTATTTTCTCAGGTTCTGTAATTTGTTAGAATGATTCACAGAACTCAAGAAAGCACTATACTTACTATTAAGTTTACAGTATGGGATACAAATCAGGATAAGCCAAATGGAGAGACTTCTAGGGCAAGATCTGTAATGTCCATGTCCTTAGGATGTAATAGACACTCAGCACATCAGTGTATAGGTCATCAACCAGGAAGCTCACCAGAACTTTGTGTGCCTTCTATAGTTTTTATTAGAGTTCTAGTACTTGAAATGATTGAATAATTGGCCATTATGATTGAAGTCCATCTCACTCTATGCCATCCCTTCCCAGGAGATCAAGCTCAAAAGCCCCACACTCTAATCACGTGGTTGGTCTTTGTGCCTTGGCCAGCCCTTATCCTGAATCATCTTGTTAACATTAATTCAGGTGTGATCCAAGGGGCCCACCACGAATAATGAAGACACACTCCTATCACTTGGTAAACTCAGGTATTTAGAGGTTACTTCTCAGAAACCATGGACAAAGGTTAACACAATTCTTTATTATACAACAGAATGTTTAAACTGTTATTTAAAAACTGGGGCACCTGGGTGGTCCAGTCAGTTGAAGTGTCCGACGTTGGCTTAGGTCATGATCTTGTAGTTCAGGAGTTCCAGCACTGCATCAGGCTCTCTGCTGACAGCTCAGAGCCTGGAACCTGCTTCACATTCTGTGTCTCCCTCTGTCTCTGCCCCTCTCCCACACACTCTCTGTCTCAAAAATAGAAAACATTAAATTTTTTTAAATGTTATTTAAAAACTATGGAAAATAGTGGAATACCTTTTGTGAAACCTGTTTCCAAATCTAACTGCTATGGAATAGTTATATATATACATACGTACACATACACACACGTCACACACACATACTTAACAAGGGAAGATTTGCTGGTGATTACTTTTTATGCTTGTTTTGTTAGCCAGTAACACTTTGTACATTCCTTCATCATTCTTAGAATCAGATTCACAGCCTGATTACTGATCCATAGGGATAAGTTAAGGGCTTTTCTATGGAATTCCATTCTGACTAATAGGTAGTCAGTTTACAGTTTGAGACTCTAAAAAGCCTGGGCCCTGGTAGTTCCTTGTTTCAGGTGGTTACTCAGGAGTAAGAGAATGGATGACAGTCTTAACATCTCCTGAAAATGGCTTAGCAAATGCCTCACTCCTCTTACTAGGGGTTAAAGGATTGTTTCCAGATAGGATTGGAAAGTGAGTAATGGATATGGTACTGATGGTGTCTCCAACTTTTTTTTTTTAATTTATATATGAAATTTATTGTCAAATTGGTTTCCATACAACACCCAGTGCTCATCCCAAAAGGTGCCCTCCTCAATACCCATCACCCACCCTCTCCTCCCTCCCACCCCCCATCAACCCTTAGTTTGTTCTCAGTTCTCAACAGTCTCTTATGCTTTGGCTCTCTCCCACTCTAACCTCTTTTTTTTTTTTGTCTCCAACTTTTTAAAAAAATGTTTGTTTATTTAATTTTGAGAGACAGAGTGAGTGGGGAAGGAGCAGAGAGAAAGGGAGACAAAGAATCCCAAGTAGGTTCTGTGCTGTCAGCACAGAGCCTGATGCAAGGCTCAAACTCCTGAACAAGGTGATCATTCATTACCTGAGCCAAGAGTATAACGGTCAACTGACTAAGCTACTCAGGCACTCAAATACAGGGCTTTTTAAACCAAAAGAACTTTTTTTTTAAATTCCTTCAGTAGTATCCTACTTATCCAAAGTGGTAAGTATCCTGTTCCTTGCACATTGCTGTGTACACAGAGACTCCTGTTTCTTCTTAATAGTCTCTTCATAAGGTAATGGCATGCTCTGACCCTAATTGAGGATCTTTTTAAATGTAAGGTCACCACATTTTCTTTGGTATTGTTATCCATATAAGGCAAATCTCTTTTATATTTATGTGTATTGTGCTCTTGTCATAGGTGTCAGCTCTACCCAAGGCGATCTCAGCAGCAGCAAGTACCTGTGTTGGATTTCCAGGCGGAATTGAGACAGGCATTCTTAGCAGAGACACCAAGAGGTGGTTAAAGCAGTATTGGAACATCCAGGTTAGCTGATTTCCAAGTGAAAAACCAGGTTAGAGCTGATACAGTCATGGTCAGTAATAAATAATGTGCTTGGAGGTCACTTTAGTTATTTGGGATATATTAAAATTTTTTCCTTAAAAATTTCATATTACAAGCAGAAAGTTAAAAAATGTAAAAGCAATAGGATCTTGACATTCTTACCTTGATATTTTACTTTCCCAGTTATACATGCTTGTTAAGTAGTTTTACTCATATCTAAATTCTATTGATTTTTCAAATTAATCTTATATGAACATACTTCATTATAAATGGCTGCTAAATACTTGTGAATCAGTGTTTTGTAATTACCTTTTGTGAGAAACTTCATCTTTTTTCCTGGTAGTTTCAATAAAGCTTCAGTGGAATCAGGAATATAACCTTAGGGTACATTTTTCTAAACTGTATTACAAAGTATTAGTCTCTTTTGCCCTGAAAATAATAAGAGTGCCTGATGACGCTACACTTTTACCTGCATTGGTTGTTTTAACTACATATTATTTGTGCCTACTGAATTATAAATATACATCACATTCTTAAATAAGCTAAATAATTTCCCATGCATATTTGCTAACTATTCCTTTTTTTGTTTTCTCTTTTTTCACTTTTGTTTTCAACAGTGTAGTTGAATCAGCTGATAATGTATCAGTGTATTTGATTCAGCTGACAATGTAATAAAATATTATCCATGATTTTTTCACTGTGATGTAGATTTATTTACAGTCTGTCTTTCTATGTTTTATGTGACCTTAAAATTTTAAGATTTGAATGACTCCAGGGGTTTAATACACTTTTTAGAAACTAGGAGAGAAAGGGACCTTTTGGATGAATTTTCTTCTAGATTTTCTTTATTTCTATTTTATGTATTACCCCACAACTCAAATTAATTAGACTTGTTTATAGCTATTATTTTGACTTTTAAAGCAAAAGAGAAAAAATGTAAGTTTTCTGAGAAAAATTCTCCCCTGCTGAGTCCTTTACTCAGCATTCTCCAGTAATAATAACCTGGAATTGATTATAAGGCAATGGAATTGATTCAGGCAGTGGAATCTGATCATTGTCCCCAGCTGTTCTCAGAGTAGGGCCATCTTTAAATGACTCTGAACAATTGATTTTTTTTTTTAACCAGGAATGTTTTGGGTTCTCAGTGCATTTCATATACTCTTGTAAGTTCCTAACTATAATTTTATTTATTTATTTATTTACTTACTTACTTACTTACTTACTTACCTACCTACCTTACTTACATGAGGCTTGAACTTACCTCAAGATCAAGAGTCACATGCTCTATTGACTGAGCCAGCCAGGTACCCCTATTATTTAAATCCTACATTATAATCTATCTGCAAGTATAATTTTCTGATGTTATGTTTTATTCTAGTCCCAAGTGCTAGTTAAACAGCACTCATTTACTAGGATTATTCTACAGCAGGGATTGTTAAAGTATCTGACCCACTCACTGTCTGTTTTATAAAAAAAAAAAAAATTATTGGCACACAACCAAGTAATCGTATTTATGTATGGTCGGTGGCTGTATTTGGAATTACAGCAACAGACTACAATAGTTGTAACAGATTAAATGGTAGGCAAAGCCTAAAATTAATCCTCTTCCTTAAAGTTGACTGGCATCTTAGATAACCACATTCAAAGATGAAAATACCAGGTTGGGACAATGGATGAGTGGTGATACTATAGAATGTTGTAAAGAAAAAGGGGTTATAGGAAAGAGTGTATATAAATGAAGTAAACATTACAAGGTAGAGAATCAGATGAATTTCTGGGATGAGGGTCAAATCTAACAATTAGTCCAAGGAATAAATGTAGATGGGTAGGTTTTTAAAGATATTTTAACAATTGATATGCTTCCTTTTTTCCTATAAAAATCTAAAGCATCCAAGTGATAGCCAAGAAAAATGTGAAAGTAAACCAAAGATTTTTAAACCTACCATAAGGTTGAATTTTCTTTCATTTTGCCCATTTTCTTTTTTTAGTTGGAATCATGCTTTTAACAAACTTATTTTGTATTTATTCCACTTAAATGTATATCATTAATGTTTCCTCATTTTATTATTGCTCATAATTATGATTTGTTATGAATAAATGACAGTTCATTCATTATTTACTTTTCCCTTGTACTTGTTTTTTTTCCTAGTTTTACTATGCTGTTATAAACATTAGTTCTATATTTTAAAGATATATTTGGTATGTTAAATTTATTAGGATAAGAGTCTAGGATAAGGACTGCAGGCTATAAATATTAGTATGACTCTTAAATGTTTTGTTCCATTGCTGACAGCATCATAAGCATTGTTGATTGCCATTTAGAACAATTACTACTAGTGCTAGTTTCTCAGTACCATCTGTGGTGCCTTTTTTTTCTTTGATAAATAAACAGTTCCAAAAAAGGAAAATTGTGTGTGCACGTGTGTGTGCGTGTGTGTTGTGTGTGTGGGATTTAAACTGGCCTTGCTTTCTGGATGAATATTGTCCATTTGTTTGTGTTACCTCCTTTTACTTGTTAAGCTTTTTTGTATATTTTTCTGTGAAGGGTGTGCTATATTACAAGATTTGAATGAGCACTAATGCATTACCATTATTATATGATTTCTGATTTGCTTTATGTGACTTGGCTACGATTGACCATCCTTCTTTTTTAATGTTTATTTATTTTTGAGAGACTGAGCACAGGTGGGGGAGGAACAGAGAGAGAGGGAGACACAGAATCCAAAGCAGGATCCATGCTCTGAGCTGTCAGCACAGAGCCCGATGTGGGGCTCGAACACACGAACTGTGAGATCATGACCTGAGCTGAAGTCTGACACTTAGCAGACTGAGCCACCCAGGTGCCCCAACCATCTTGTCTTTTCACTTTTTTTTTTTTTTTTTTAAGTTTTGTCATTAGAAAAGTTCCCAAAAGTTTAAGAACTTCTGTGGAAAATCTTACAATGTTTGAGTCAGGGACTTGGGCCATTTATTTGCTTATGTGCCTTTTGATGTAAGGAGATTTATCATAACTGCCAATTCATCAGTGCATTATGATTTTGCTACTCTTTTCCTTTTCATGAGGCATTTTGCTGTCATTTGTTGTGAAGATATATTTGATCAGTCTCCAAAGTAATATATCATTTTCCTGTTACAAGGGTTCATGATTATAGTGTACTAAATTTAGGGATAAGAGATAACTTTCTAATTTCAGGTCCTATTCATTAGGGGAAGTCTTTCTTAACCACTCTAGCCAACCCCTTTTCTGAGTTGTAATATGTATGTATATCCCTTATTTTATACAAAATATTTTGTATCATATTACATGTCCCATATCCCCAGTTCTCTAGGTCTCCAGTTCTTTTTTTTTTTTTTTTAAGATATTTTGGGAAATCTATTTATTTTTTGTTTTAGTGTTTATTTTTGAGAGTGAGCACGTACAGATGAGCTGGGGAGGGGCAGAGAGAGGAGGAGACAGAGGATCTAAAGCAGGCTCTGTGCTGACAGCAGAGAACCCGATTCAGGGCTCAAACTCACAAACTGTAAGACATGACCTGAGCCAAAGTAAGATGCCTGACCGAGTGGACCACCCATGTACCCCTCCAATTCCTTAGTCTGTAACTCATATGTCGAGGTGCATTTTTATACTTGATAACTAGTTAACTACGTTTAGTAGTTGTGGAAGGGGTTTAGAAACTCAGGGTAGATGAAGGACAGAAGCAGGACTGACTGGCTTTCCCTTTTTATTCTTCTGCTATACAATTGTTCAAATTTATTGGTTTCTTACAGCTAAACTATGAATTAGGTCTGATAGTTGTGTGTTCACTGAAATGTCAGGTGGGACAGAACATTTCAAACTGAGACTGATGGGAAAATCCGTATTCTCAAATCTTTTTGGCATCTGAAGGTAAAAAGTTTTGTTTTGAATTTTAAATTTTTACTGGAGAGGTGTCACCTTAAATGCACACTTGATGCTGGTTTCCATTGCATTAATCCTTGTAAGATACCTTTCTGTGATTACATTTTTTTCCCTTAAATGAAATCTTGAAATCTAGCCCTACCATCTTTTAATTTTCTAATAATCACTGTCTTGTGGCTAAGTATTTGGTAGTATATCTCCATTGTTGATGGTAAAAAGGGTATGCTCCAGTAATAGTGTCTTATTGAGTGGTTAGCTTTTTTGTTTTGTTTTGTTTGCACTAACGGTGATATAAAAAGCAGTGTTACAAACTTTCCACGTTATTGAAAGATCCTGACATTTTGCATTTTAACCAGCTTTACTAATGTATAATGTATATACCATAAAAAATCACCGAAATTTTTGTAAATTTACTGACTTCAGTCATTGCCAGGAACTCTGAGAACTTTCCATTTTCAGAGTAAGGTCCCTTATGCTCATTTATATACATTCCCTGTTTCTACCCCCAACTTCAGGTTAACACTTATTTACTTTCTGTTGCTGTGAATTTTTTTGTTTCTATTTTTTTTTTCTGTTTCTGTAGATGATTTACTTTCTGTTACTATGGATTGCTGAAGATTTTAAATCTTAGTAGATATAAAAAATGAAAGTAGCTAATGACTAGAGGTAAAAAATATGTAAGTATTCTTGAATTTAGACTGCTTTATAGATAATCCTGTCAGAATTCAGAACATCTATATTATAGACCTTAAACTACTCCTGTGAGTTTGGGTTACAAACTACATTGATTTGGGGAGAGGAGGGCATGCCAGTCTGCTGATTTGAACAGATCTTTTGAGATCATTACATGTCAGTTTTATCCAAAACATTAAGTCATATACAATGTTGGATGCTGTAAAAGGGGGTATCCTTGATGTCATTGTATCTTTTAAGACCTACATTGGGTAGATGGGGAAAAGAGACAAGTTTATAGATATTATAGTCAGTTATGGTAAATGTTGGAGAAGTATGGACAGTGTTAAGGACAGTATAGGCATAAAGTCTTTAAGAAGAAAAATGCACAAAAAGTGCATGATAGTTTGCATTTGGAGAACAAAGGTTAGGAGATATTCTAATACCAGGAATTTATTTTTTAGAAAATCTGATACTCCAAAATTCTCATAATGTACTTAACTGTACATTATGTTAAGTATAACATAAATTTTTGTAAGTATAGGGAAACCTCTTTTCTACATCTTAACTGTACATTATGTTAAGTATAACATAAATTTTTGTAGGTATAGGGAAACCTCTTTTCTACATCTTACCTATTCTTACTGAACTCTTTCTTTCATACCATTCTGTTCTCTTTTGATCGAGTGTCATATAGTTCCACATGGAAAACTGTCCTCAAAACATTTCTTTTACCTTATTGTTTTGATGTTATGTTTCACAACCACTATTTTGATGATTTTATTTTCACATCCTAAAATACAGGATTCATAATTTACTGAATCAGTATACTTAGCTGTTTGCAAAATGTCTCCATTGAAGACAGAGGACAACAAGTTTACTGAAAATGTTTGTATTATTAAAAATAAAATTATGTCAGATTTTGTTTATGATACTAGGCTGCTTTTTTGCATAAACCAAATTCCCATTCAAGAGTAATATAATTTGTGTGTTTGCTTTCTAAATAAGTATAATTAGTAGTTTGAGATTTGTTTTCTAGTTTTGATTTGGTTGCCATACTCAGAGGAGTTTCCTTAGTATGTTGGGAAAAATGATAACACTGTTATAATCATGTTCTTTTGATTGCTAAGAAAATTACCTATATATCCATATAAGCAAGTAATCAGTTGTTTTATGCTCCACTTTAACATAGGACGTCATAAGCAGGTACATGATAATGCAGTTGGTTCTTGGTAAAAAAATTATTTAGAATTACTTTGAAGAGGTTTTGGCAGGGTCAAGGAGGGGGATTTTGAGGTTGAAAACCTTTAGGTGGCTTAGCTAAGAACAAAATTTTAACTAATTCAGGAGAATAATTCAGATGGCTATGAAGCTTAGGGATATATCAAAATGTTGAAGTTGAGATGATGGGTTAACTTAGGATCAGAGAATGAAGCACCACCTAAAGTAAGGATGAAAAAAGAAAACACTACATTTTTTGGAATGGAAAATGAAAGTGATTTTTTAGACATTTAAAAATGTCTGCATAATATAAAAATTTAATAAACACTGTCAACTTTAAGTGTGTAAAATGTGGAAGTTAAGGTCAAGGAATAGTGAAATTTGGTGTTCATGTGGTGGGTATGGAACATGGGAGGTGTTTTTAAATATGTCTGTTATGGTGATTTTCATGTAAAATTGTCTGCCTGTTTTTAAACATGGTAGATTGCAGTGCAGCTAGATCATGCTTTCCTCTGCAGGCTCCATCTACTGTTTGAAGCTTCTGCCCCAAGCTTGCATTGTTTGTAGGAGAACCTGCGTCATACCTTTATCTGTAGCCTTCCCTTAGGTATTAAGAATCCTGAAACCTTTCTTCGGACATTGGATTTGGTGGAACAGCAACCATGGTAAGATGTATATTAAGGCAGAAGGGTGAAAAGCTATTGGAAGGGCCTAACATAATAGTTTACCAGAGTGTGGGGTGTCTTTGTGTTCTTGATGTTAGAGACAAGAAATCAATCTTTAGAGATCGCATCTCATTGTGTGGAATATCAACTGAAGAAGAGCTATATCCCTTTTCCTATTTTAGTGATAAAATGATTTGGAAAATATCTTTTTTTTTTTTTTTTTTTTTTTTAGTTTATATATTTGTTTTGAGAGTGAGAGAGAGAGAGCAAGAGGGCCATGCAGAGAGGGAGAGAGAAGCCCAAACAGGCTCTGTACCGTCAGTGCAGAGCCCTACACAGGACTTGAACCCACAAACTGAGATCATCACCTGAGCTGAAGTTGGCCCTAAGCCACCCAGGCACCCTAGTTTGGAAAACATCTTAAGAGGGATCTTATATGTGAGAAAATACAGAAGAGTTTTGGTCATGATTTACATGATTTACAATAATAACGGACCATCCTGAAGATGGAGGACCCTTACTTAGGTTACAGTAGACATGAAACGGAGTGGGGCACCTGGGTAGCTCAGTTGATTAAGCAACTGACTGCGGCTCAGTTCATGATCTCACAGTTTGTGAGTTCGAGCCCCATGTCAGGCTTTGTTCTGACAGCTCAGAACCTGGAGCCTGCTTTGGATTCTGTGTCTCCCCTCTCTCTACCCCTCCCCTGCTCATGCTCTGTGTCTCTCCATCTCTGAATAATAAATAAACATTTTTTTAAATAAAAAAAAGAAAATGGAGGGATTTAGGACATTGGGCTTAGGTAAATACACAATTAGTCTGTCAAGAGATACAGCATCCTAATCAGGTTTGTGGTTCTATTAAAGTTTAGATAATTGAGAGCATGTATTCTGTTAAAGTTTAGATAGTTGAGAACATGTATTCTCAACAGGAAGGATATCCCAAGGCAGCAAGAGTTGATTTTGAGAAGTGGAAAGAATATTTGATTTTACAATGGCTTGTGGTGTTCCAAAGGACCACAGGATATAAATACAGATACAATATTATCAACATTTTAAAATTTCAGTGGAGTGGGTGATTTAGGATAAAATTTGTAAAATTTCAGAGAGAAAGAGGGCATGTGTGCCCACAAGTGAGGGAGAGGCAGAGAGAATCTTTTTTTTTTAAGGTGTAAGAATTAGTGGCCTATTTTTTATTTATTGTTTATTTATTGAGAGAAGAGGGGGAGAGACAGAGCGAGAGAAAGAGAGAATCCCAAGCAAGCTCTGCTTAATCAGTGCAGAGCCCAATGTGGGTCTAGGTGTCGAACTCACATACCGTGAGATCATAAGCTGAGCAGAAATCTGGAGTCGGACACTTAACCAACTGAGCCACCCAGGTGCTCAGGGAGAGAGAGAGAGAATTTTTTCTTTAAAGTTTTTATTTATTTTGAGAGAGAGAGTGAGAGCAAGTGGGGGATGGGAAGAGAGAGGGAGAGGGCGAGAATACCAAGCAGGCTCCTCACTGACAATGCTAGGCTTGAACTCACAAACCATTAGATCATGACACGAGCTGAAGTCAGATACTTAACTGACTGAGTCACCCAGCTGCCCCATGATAAAAATATTTTTAAAAAGTGCCTTAGTAGGGTAAATGAAACGAAAACAAGTTTGAGAAACATTGATCCAAGTTCTGAGTAGGAGGAGATACAGGGTTTGATATAACTAGGACAGAGGCCTTTGGGGAACTAAATAGTGGTTTGTATTTGCATTGGGTTGATGGGAGTTGGAAAGTTTTTTTGATGGAGGTAGCAATTTCCCACTGTTTGGATAGATGTCTAGGGGAAAAGAAATAGTCCAGGGTCAAGTGTTCTGAAGGAGGGTGGAATTTGGGATTAGAATTGGGAAAGGAGAGGAATCAGAATACTAAAAGGAAATTAGATTTGTGAATCTGATGGGGAAGAAATAGGATGATGGGAAACTGCATAGTCATTCTGAGAAGTAGAGGGTTCCACAGAGTAGAGTTGACCTGGGTCTAAATTTGGTCCAGTATCTTGACTGTGAAGGTATTTTTGGAGACAACATGGGAGGGAAGATGTGTTAAGGAAACAAAGTTTGGATTGATATAGGAGTGGGGAAGAAATGGTGGGGAGGGTTATAAAGTAATTGCAGACAGCTTTTCTTACTCATTTCAGACTGTGGGAAAGAGCAGCAAGATGCTGCAACACATTGACTATAGAATGCGATGTATCCTGCAAGATGGCCGAATCTTCATTGGCACCTTTAAGGCTTTTGACAAGCATATGAACTTGATCCTCTGTGATTGTGATGAATTCAGAAAGATCAAGTAAGACCACTTTGGGTTTGGATAATGGGATATTGAGGGAGAGGATAATCGGAGTAAGGGATTATAGAGGGTAACTGAAGGAGGTAGGGTTAGTCTGTTTTCTAACCTCTTGGCCTAGAAGATCAGAGTCTCCCACTCTTTTTTTTTTAATGTTTATTTTTGAGAGAGAAAGAGAGACAGAGGATGAGCAGGGAAGGGGCAGAGAGAGAGACACAAAATCTGAAGCAGGGTCTAGGCTCTGAGCTGTCAACACAGAGCCCGACGCAGGGCTTGAACTCATGAACCACGAAATCATGACGTGAGCCAAAGTTGGATGCTTAACTGACTGAGCACCCAGGTGCCCCTACAGTCTCCCAGTCTTGAAGTCATTGTATTTACACTACTGTTTTAAGTTTGCAAACACAGTTATGAACTGAACTTGGAATAGAACTGTACTGTATGAGCAGAGTATCAAGTTATATTTATTAAAAAGTTAATCTTATTAATAGGTTAAGTTCTGTGGTATTCCTTTGGACTGAAGGGATCTTATGAATAACAATTTACTCTTCATGGTTGAGGAGTTAGGATATGATTAGAATACTCTAGGCCAGATTTAACATTTGTTCAGCCAGCCTCTTTGCATGCACCTTGTTTTGTCAAAATCGTCATGTTCAGTGTTGACCTGGTGTCAGTTCTTAACCCTCTTCTATTATATTTTTGATTTGCCCATTTAATTTCTTCAGGAATATCCTGTGTGCTTGTACCTTACCACATTAGGCTTCCCTCTTTGTACCTGTGACTAGGGAGCTTCCTTTCACAGAGCACTGTTGACCCTCTGCAATAAGATCACAAGAATTGGTGGATCTTAGTGGCATCCTACTTCCATTCAGTTGACTTTTCATTCAGAGTATTTGAGTTGGTATTTGTAATATCTCTGGACACTCAAGATGGCTTTGTTTTTTATCATGGGGCAGAACTTACAATGTATCACTCTTGACTCTTGGCTCCATTTAATTTATTGCCACAGTCTATGATATACTATTCAGAATTTTAATTTGCCCATTTCACTTAGGTTTTATTAAAAATGAAGAAAAAGGTAGGTGATGCTCACCTTCACCTGCCTGCTGTAGTCTGTTCCTCTCAGGCAAATTTGAATAGAATTCATAACATATGCTTTATCTTTCCCTTTTCATGTATTCTCAGTCTCCTTCCTGTGCAACAAGTAGGGTTATATCAGAAATTCTAAGATGGTGAATGTTTCAGTGTTATTTTTTTTTGTTTGTTTAAATAATCTAACTTTTTACTGAAAATAAAATAAACCCTTACGACATTGATAAATACTGAAGGCATTTGATGAGAACTTTAGTCATATTAATTTCTCTGTTTAACATCTTTCACTAAGTTATGGGGATAATTTCACATGGATAATGCTTTAAATTGTGCATTTTTCTCTGTGATAGTACTCACAGTTTTTGAATGATATTGTGTCAGTAGCTTTTAAGTATGTAGATTTTTGCTTCTGACCATTGTGACTTTGTACAGAGTTTTTTTTTTTTTTAAATTTTTAAGATTTCCCATGGTTATATAAGTGATATAAAGGCCAGGAATACAACAGTGTCTCTAATTCAAAGCCTGTTTTTTCTTTATCATTTGGTATGACCTCATTGTTCCTGTTCCCATTTTAGTTGTCTGTCACCCAAATTTACTTAGTTGAAAATGATTTAAAAAACATACTTCCCATTTTAACATGAAAACACATTTTTGAAAGTTTTAGCCATATCATTTTCATCTGAGTTTCATGAAGAAGAAATTAGTTTTGCTGTAGTATAACATTGAGGGAACATTTTGGAAAATTTTAATAGGAAAAGGGCTTTAACATTTACCCTTATATGTCAGTGAGTCTAGTGTTTTGTTTTTGCCTTTGTTTTGTCATAACTTAGTAATAGCATGAATATATTGCCATCAATTATTGTCATGTGTATGTGTTATTAAGGTGAAATGTAAATATTTTAGTGAGTGATCCCTAACTTACCTTACTAAAATTTGTTTCTGCTCTATAGGCCAAAGAATGCAAAGCAGCCAGAACGTGAAGAGAAGCGGGTTTTGGGTCTGGTGTTGCTACGTGGGGAGAACTTGGTCTCCATGACAGTGGAAGGACCACCCCCGAAAGATGTAAGGAGTACATAGGGCAGGACAGAACATTAGTGTGGAAGGACATAACATTATTTGAGATGATGCTAAATCAAGGTACAATGAGGCACAATAAATAGTATACATTTGTTAAATAAAATGTGCCGAGCACTTAATGTCAGTTCTTGTCTGTACTTCAAGATTAAGGACTTTCTATAGAGTTATTCTGTGGGTTGGGTACTACCTAGATAAGGTTAGAAGTGTCTTATTTGTATTCACAGTTTGACAGATGTACATTTAATCTGCTGAATGCCTCCATGGTACACTTGTCTATTGCTGTGAATATAGAACTAATATAAGCTGGGTGGTAGGAAAAATGGTGGAAAGCAGTGATCTTTTAGGAATAAGATTATTGATAACTTTGGTAAATCATTTGATTTCAAACTAATTTTTCTTGTTTCAGACTGGCATTGCTCGGGTACCTCTTGCTGGAGCTGC